TGAGATTTCACTGACTTTATAAGCACTTTGGAAAACATTTAAGAGATTCAGGTTCACTAAATATAAAGTCAGATAATCAAAGTCCTTAAGAAAGTAAATTTAATGTTTTAAATTAATTTTATCAATTTAATGTATTATGTATTTTATGTAATTTAAATTTATAAAATATACTCTACAACAGTTAAATAAATTTATTAAATTGTTTTAAAAAATGCCCTATTAAAATTATTAAAACTTGCTAGGCTTGAAGTACTAAGATCATTAAAGACATCAAAAATTCACATTTAGCACACTAGGCTCACCAGATACTCTGATGTGCTGTGCTTGGTGACTACTATTGACAGAGAACTCAGCACTGTGTGAGGCAGCTGCTGGGCCATCAAGAAGTCCCCCCTTGGCCATCAAGAAGTCCAGTTTGGGACTATTGGGAGAAGGTAGAATCTTTAAGAGAATGAATCTAGCAGAAAGTCTTTAGGTGATTGAGGATGTGCCTTCAAGGGGGACTGCAAGACCCCAGTCTCTTCCTCTTTCTCTTTTGCTTCTTGACTTATGATATAAGTGAGGTCTACTCTACCACATGCTCCCACCCTGATGCAATACCTCACTACAGACCCAAATCAACTGGACCAATCAATCATGGACTGGAATCTTCAAAACTGTGACTCAGACTAAACCTCTCTTTATATGTTGGTTACCTCAGGTACTTGATGTAAATGACAGAAAATTGACTAGCATGCTCCTTTTCCTTAGGAAAACAGCATCCTCTTTTCTCCAAGCTCAGCTCTCCTAAGTGCCAATCTTTCACTTGTTCCACAACCACTTATTGAGTGCCTGAAATGTTCCAGATGTTATAACAGATGATAGAGAGAAAACAACAAGCAAAATCCAGACCCTGCCCTCCAGTTCTCAGATGAGTGGTGAAAAGAAACAGGAGAGCAGGCAGGTCGAAGAGATAATGAGACAAGGGGAGCCTGAGAGCACAGAAGAACCCAGCCTATTCCTGCAGGGTCATGGAAGCTTCCCAGAGAGAGGCCCTGTCTGAAGCCAGGGATGCACTTTGAGGTTGTTCTGGTGAAGAGGTTGGAGGAGAGGGAATGACAACTGAAATGGGCCTAAGGTAGGGGGAGCATGCCAGTTCCATGTCATTGTAGCTTAGATGGAGGTGACAGAGACTGGGAAGGCATTACCTCTCCTTCTCCCTCTAATTGATATTGCAGGGAGACTGGAACGAAAAACCTCTCTGAAATCATAAGGAAATTTTTGCACATAGGTGCCTATACATTTAAACTGCATAGCTAGCAGAAAATCGTCACAGAGGTTATTGGCCTTAAAAAAATAGGACTTGCCGAAATAGATTGTCCATGATTTTTAAAATGCAGCACTTGAAGTTTATGCAGTACCAATCACAAACCATAACCTCCTTCCAACAGGACATCACAGACTAATGAAATTGGCCAAAGAACACAAAAATTTTTGAAGCAGCCCCAACATAGGGCAGGTTCACACGTAGACTGTGATCAGCCAAGTCCTTCATGTCATTGACACATGGATTCTGCTAGATTCCCGCTATCCTGTTCTTGGCCATTTAATATTGAAGTGAAAGCCAGGACTTTTGCAGTAGTCCCTGTTGGATTTCACCCTAGTCCTCTATACTTTGACAATCATTAAAAATCATGTGCCAGGCACCATGCCAAATGCTTCACAATCTTCTCTCATTTAATCCTCCCGATAGGCCCACAAAGTAAATACTATTATCTTGGTTTTATAGACGAGGAAACTGAGCATCAGAGATAGTCAGAAACTTGCTAAAGATGACTAAGCCAGGATTTGAGCCCAAACTCTATGAAGCTATGGCAGCTCCAGGACTTCTCCC